GACGTAGATCAGTCTATGATTATTGATTGCCGTGTAAAACTAGCGGCTGAAATATTTGGTGCTCATTTTGATCCGTAGTTTGTTGTAAACATTTAGGCGTTGTTCATTTGTGAAAGATAATAAACTTTTGTGGGTTGCTCATTTTTTATGTACATGCAAATGCAGTGGTTAGAAAACAATTTTGTCAAAACGGTTAAAAATATAAGGTTTATCAAAATTGTTAAAAGAATTACTGTAACTATATAATATCAAAATGGTCTTTTAATGAAGAACTGATTAAAAATTGAGCCTATTTAAATAAAAAAATCGAGCAACTTATTAAAATTAATTTGTCAAATAACAATTGTACAATCATTCTTTCATAATACATAACAATTATACAATTGTTATTTCACAAAATACAATAGTCGCGGCCAGTGACAAATATCGCGTGCGCAACGATTTGGGATTGTCCTCTGCCCATAAATATCATTTCACAGTGTCGCGACAACGACGACTGTCGCGCCGACAACAAATCCGTTCAACAAAAGAGCGTTTGTTGAATCGTTCTTTCGTTTGAAGTAACGGTTCAACAATCGTGATAGTACAAAAGGTAAGGGTCGCGGCCGCGACAGGTGTCGCGACCGTGATGACACAATTAGCCCCTCTGTCCATTTATTTATATGCCAGTGTCGCCGGCGCGACGTATATCGCGGGCGCGACAAGTCCGTTTATTGAAGGAACGAACATTGAATCGTTGTTTTGTTCCAAGTAATGGTTCAACAATCGTGATAGTTCAAAAGTTAGGTGTCGCGGACGCAACAGGTGTCGCGACCGTGACGATAAAATAAGCCCCTCTGTCTACTTTTTTATTTGGCAGTGTCGCTAGCGCGACGGCTGTCGCTGTCACGACAAGTCCGTCTATTGAAGGAACGAATATTGAATCGTTCTTTCGTTTGAAGTAACGGTTCAACAATCGTGATAGTACAAAAGGTAAGGGTCGCGGCTGCGACAGGTGTCGCGACCGTGACGACACAATTAGCCCCTCTGTCCATTTATTTATATGCCAGTGTCGCCGGCGCGACGTATATCGCAGGCGCGACAAGTCCGCTTATTGAAGGAACGAACATTGAATCGTTGTTTTGTTCCAAGTAACGGTTCGATAATCGTGATAGTTCAAAAGTTAAGTGTCTCGGCCGCGACAGGTGTCGCGACCGTGACGAGACAATAAGCCCCTCTGTCCACTTTTTTATTTGGCGGTGTCGCTAGCGCGACGGCTGTCGCGGTCGCGACAAGTCCGTCTATTGAAGGAACGAATATTGAATTGTTGTTTTGTTCCAAGTAACGATTCAACAATCGTGATAGTTCAAAGTTTAAGTGACGCGGCCGTGACAGGTGTCGCGACCGTGACGATATAACGAATCTATATTCGTTATTTAAGAAATTTTTTAAAAAAAATCCATGTCGCGGTCGCGATGTGGGTCGCGACCTTTACCACTTTGCAAATCTCTCTGTCCGATCAACAGGTCCCAGTGTCGCGGCCGCGGCAAACGTCGCGCCCGCGACATCAAATGTTTTATTTTTTTATATTTTTATATATTTTTTTTGTAGTCGCGACGAAACTCATTTTGTGAAATAATGATACTTGTTTCCTTGGTGATATACGTGTTAACCCAAAAAGACAAACCAAATCAACCTTAGACGATCGTTATACCTATAATGGAAATCATAGCCAAAACATCGCAATACCTATAATGCAAATCATATAAATCATATCAAACTCATAGCCAAAACCGGAACACA